GTAGAGGGCTCTGGGTTCAATCCTCAGTACTGCAAACAAAACAAAACAAAAACACAGACCAAGTCAGAACCACTGCTGGAATATATCAGTCATTTAAAGAATTAACATCAGTCCTTCACAAGTCTTCCAAAATATAGAAGAAGCAACTTGCCAATTCATTCTATAAGACTAGGATTTCTTTGAGATCCAAAACAAACAAGAACATAAGAAAATTACAATATTCTTCATGGCTATAGATGCAAAAATCCTCAACAAAATACTGACAAACCAAATCTGGCAATATACAAAAAAGATTATGTAGCAAGACTACGTGGGATTTGTACTAGAATGCAAGGTTGGTACAACATATAAAAATCAATGTAATATGCTAAACTAATGGAATAAAGAACAAACAGTATTTGAATTGTGATATTTCAATAGGGTAAAAGGGTAAAGCACTTTTTTTTGGGGGGGGGGACTGGTATGGGGAGAGTAAACCTTGGGGCTATCACTTAGCTACACCCAAACCTTTTCATTTTCAATTTTTAAATTTTGAGACAGGGTCTTGCTAAATTGCCCAGGCTAACCATGAATTTGTGATACCTTAATCTCCAGAGTAGCTGGGATTACAGGCATGAACCACCATGCTCAGTTCAGACAAAACATTTGATATATCCAACATCCTTTAATAATATACTCAACAAACTGGGAAGAAAAGAGGCCTTCCTTAGCCTGGTAAAAGGCATCCATGAAAAAGTAATACAAAAGACTGAAGTCTTTCCCAAAGTTTAGAAACAAAGATTTCTGTTCCCCCTACTTCTAATCAACCCTATACAGGAGGGTCTAGCAAGGGCAGTTAGACAAGAAAATAAACAAAGGCATCCAGGCTGGAAAGAAAGAAGTAAAGGGGCTGGGGATGTGGCTCAAGCGGTAGCGTGCTCGCCTGGCATGCGTGCGGCCCGGGTTCGATTCTCAGCACCACATACCAACAAAAGATGTTGTGTCCGCCGAGAACTAAAAAATAAATATTAAAAATTCTCTCTCTCTCTCCTCTCTCTCACTCTCTCTTTAAAAAAAAAAAAAATAAAATAAAAAATAAAAGAAAGAAAGAAGTAAAATCATTTGTAGTTGATATAATATTGTATATTAAAAAAAATTCCCAAAAGAATCTACACACACAAGTTGGGCATGGTGGCATACTCCTGTAATCCCAGAGACTTGGGATACTGAGGCAGTACAAAAGAAGTTTGAGGCTAGCCTCTTGGCAATACATCATCTAAAAAAAGAAAGAAAAAACGCTGGGGATATAGAGGACCTCTGAGTTCTATCCCCAGTATGCGGTGCCAGGGAGGGGATCTCCACACACACAGAAAAAGTATTAGCTAATAAATGAGTTTGGCAAGGTTGAAGGGTACAAGATCAATACACAAAACTGAATTGTATAGCAATCTCCTCTTCTCTGAGGTTTTGTTTTCTGAAGGATGTCAACTGTGGTCTGAAAATATTAAATGGAAAACTCCAGAAATAAACAATTTGTAAGTTTTAAATCATATACTGACTTTTCTGAGTCATGTGATGAAATCTTGTGCTATTGCCTCAAGTAACCCTCATCTTACTTAAGAATGGTCCCAAAGTCAGAATAGTGTTGCTGGCTATTTGTATATGCCAAAGAGAAGCTATAAAGATCTTTACATGAAAAAGTGAAAAGTTCTCAACAAGTAAAAAAAGAAAAAGAAAAACTGAAAAAATTGTATGCTAAGATATACAATACAATAAAACATTTGAGGCAACCATATTCACCTAATTTTATTAGAGTATATTTTTATTACTATTCTATTTTATTGTTATTAATCTCTTATTATAAATTCCATTTATTATAGCAGCAAAAAGAACAAATACTTACAAATAAATTTAACAAAAGAGATGCAAGTTTTATACACTGAAAATGATGAAATCTTGTGGAATAAAATTTAAAAAGATCAAAATAAATATACTTCCTATGTTCATAAATCAGAAGACTTAATATTGCTAAGATGACAGTACTCCTCAAACTGATGTACAGATTCAAGGCAATCCCTGTCAAACTCCCAGATGTATTTTTGCAGAAATTGGTAACTTGTCGTAAAGTACATGTGGAAATGCAAGGGACCCAGAATAGCCAGTCTTGAAAAATAAGAATAACATTGGATGACACATTTCCTGATTTCAAAACTTACTACAAAGCAACAGTAATCAAGATGATGCGGAACTGTTATTAAGTACAGACACATAGATTAATGGAATATTCAGAGTCCAGAAACAATCTCTACTATAGTTTTTTTTTAAAGGAAAAAAACATGTTAGTGAGGAAATAGAGAAATTAAAATCCTTGTACATTGCTAGTAGAAATGAAAATGGTACAGCTGTTTGGAAAATAGACTGGCAGTCCTCCAAAAAGTTAAACATAAAGGTTACCATTTGATCTAACAATTCTACTCCTAGATATAGTCCTAATGTGAAACATAAAACTTCGCATATTGCTATTCAAAATATCATTTCTCCTAATTAGCCCCAAAGTAGAAACAAGTCCAGTGTCCACCAATAGATAAATGGATAGACAAAATGTTGAGTATTCATACAATAGAATATTATTCGGTCATAAAAGGAATGAAGTTATGATACATGTTACAACATGGATGAATAATGAAAACCTGCTAAATGAAAGAAGTCAGACACAAAGGCCAAATATTTTATGATTTTGTTCATATGAAATGTCCAGAATAGGCAGATCTATAGAGATAGAACATAGATTAGTGGTTGTCAGGGGCTTGAGAGGAAGTAGAAATAAAAGTGGCTACTAATATGTATGGGATATCTTTATAGGGTGATGAAAATATTCTAGGATTAGAGAGTGGTGACAGAAGCACACAATTTTGTGACTAACAACCAGTGACCTGTACACTTTAAAGTGATAGTCTTTATAGTACATAAGTTGTATCTCAATAGAACTATTATTTTAAAAAAACTAATGAGACTTATAAGAGACTTAATAATGCATATCCTACATGGAGTTTGATTCAGATAAGCCAACAGGAAGACACTACTTGAGACAATCAACAGATTTTGAAAATGGGCTGAGTATTAGATATTTTTAAGAATTACTGCTAATTTTATTAGATGTGGTATTTAAGTATTTATAGATGATAAGATGTAAAATTTGCAGTTTAAAATGTTCCATAAACAAAGCTGTGGAAACAGAGTAAGACCAGCAAATATTGACAATTACTGAAGCTAGGTTATAGAGGTAGAGAATCCATCATGCTATTTTTTTCTATTTTATACACTTTAAAGAGTTTCACAACTAAAAGTAAAAAGGAAATTCTTCCTTCTCTTGCTTCAGGTCATGGTTTAATTGCTAGCCTCCAGTAACAAACTAGTACTGTTTTCTTGTTATATTCAAACAAAATTAAAAAAGCCCATTCAACTGGATTTAGCATTGAGTGAGCTTATTTGGTGACTTATTTGCCAAAACCATTCTTTTGTACATCTTGGCTAGATATACATTTCTTTAATCTTTAGTAGATGTTCTTTCATAATCCAAGCTTGTATTAGCATTCCCTATGAAATCATACTGATTTCTTCATTGGGCTGCTATATCATAATATAATCAATTTTACTTTTTGGAGTTTTCCAAACTTCTTTAGGTATCTTTACCTGATGAATTCCATGCCAAAAAACACCACCTAGAAATATCTCTGGAAACATGTTGGGACAATAGTCAAACTTCTTTTTTGATACAACATAAGACATTTAGGTGGGAAATACAAAGAGTTCCCCGTTTATTCAGTTTATTCCATACAAGTAATTTAAACAGATGTTAGAGGGCATCACTGAGACCTAGAACAATTAAATATCTGATGTAGAACAATTAGATCTGTCTCTCTCATATTCCTTGAGGGATGTTGGAAAAAATTCCTCATTCTTCTGTGCCTCACCTGTAAAATGGTGGGGGAAACAATGCCTCTTGGACCTCTTGTGTTCCTACATGTCTTTACTGGTTTATATCAAGCCTGAAAGGCCCTGATACCTGGGTTCTGTCTTAGGGCTATTTATGTAGCTGATAATTACAAGAGATGAAACTTTCCTATTGTTTCCTACAAAAGCATTGGATCTATTATAAGTTTGGAACAGGGATTCAATGTAGTTAAAATTTACTAGGGATGATTTATCTGAGAGACTTATGTAAAATGAATTTTGGGGAAGAGAATCAAATGGCTCGCCATGAAGAACTGAAGTAATTGGAAAGGGTTGAATTGAGAAGATCTGTTAAGGAAACGGAGAAGTCAAAAATGGCCCAAAGTTTCTGCCCAGTGACACTAGAACGGTGTGCTATAGACAGAAATAAAAATTTGAGTAATTGATTTGGAGAAAAGGGTCAAAGTAAGCTTGGTTTTGGATACAGTTATATTTATATGAAAGAATTACAGAAGAAATAATTTTTGGTTTGGGAAATGTTCATGTATTATAAAATATGTGCTACTTGTCAAAATAATTCCATTAGAAAGTAATGCTGTTTATATGTTAAAGCTGAAAGTGTTTAATACCTTGGGAATGTGCAAATCATAGTAACATTCCAGAATACTTTAGATTCCTGGGATCTGTTTTTCACTGTGAAATTTACACACACACACACACACACACACACACACACACACACACACACACACATGCACACGCACACGTACATATACATATATGATAAATTTTATCCTTCCCAGTAAAAAAAGCCATAGAAAAACTTGATGTGATCTTGAAATAATGTCCCTTTTAAACATGTTATTTAATGAATATCCTAAAAGATCAGTGTAAATATACACTAATGCTATTTTACTTGGAATCACAAGCATAGTTTTCTCAGTTACTGCCATGGAAAATAAAACCTAAATCTGACACTCCTTCTTATGGAAAACAATTAAAAGGTGGTTAGAAAATTTAAAAAAGAAATAAAGAAAAAAGCTGAAAGATGTTGGTGTGGCACGCACCTTCTGTATCATCGCGCATTTGCTCCACCAAATCTGTCAAATCCTCCCAAGAGTCTTTGCAAACGGCAAAAAGAAAGGAAAAGAAAGATAAAATGTCATGCAAGCCAAGAAAGAAAAGTGCTATTAAAATAAGATTTCCAAAAGGATAACTGAAAGGGAAGTTCTTAGTACTTTTTCTGTTTAGTTCATCAAAGATTAACAGTTGAAAAAGTCTGGGAATATAACCTACTACGCAGAGATATCAACAAGGATTACTAAATATGTTTCAAAGATAAGATTAGTAATTTAAAAGTTTCTAACATAAAGAAAAATGCATATCTCATAAAACAGCAACAGAGATTTTTTTTCTACTGAAACCAAATTAAACACTTTGTATTCTAAGTATATTCAACATTAACATCATTCAACATTTATTTTCATCATCTCAGTGAAGCTGAATATTTTTTAGAACCAGGACAAATCTCAAGATGCAAATGAGTGACTTTTCTTAAATTAACAACAAATAAAATAACACCTCTACACTGTCCTTTCCTAAAACACAAAAGAAAAGGATGCTGCTTTGAAGAAACACAAAATAAAGCACTTAAAATTCAATAAAGCTAACTGTTTACTCAGCATACAGAGTTACTATGATCTGAGGCAGCACCCATAATCAAACACATTAATATTATTGCAAGAAATAAGTGAATATTCAGATTAAATTGGACAAGAACTACAAACAGCCTCAAGTAAATTTAGTCATGTTTTTTCACCAAATGAGCTTTGGCAAATTTGTGAAAATAGGTTGTGATTTCCACAGATTTTAAAAACAATTTTGGATTCATGGATCTATATATGTAAAGCACTTAGAAGTTATCTTACACAGAAAAAAATACAACAAATGTTGGCTACTATAATTTTATAGTAAATTGGTGCTGACATATATTTAGACATTTTGCATAGGTGGTTTTCAGGTAAAATCCTCAGACAATATAATATGCTACAGATCTATATTATGTAGGATCACAGATCCATAAGAATGTACTTTTAACTATATACATCATTTGCTCTACAGACTTCCAAGTCAAAAGTATGTCACTTTACAAATCATTTTATTCCTTATTTTATTGAATTCGAAGCTATACTTGTCATCTAATCAAATAAAATCCTACTTACTAAAGCAAAATATAAAGATCCTCTAAGATTTGTTAAAGAAAGATCTGGAAAGTGAATTTCTAGGTAGGTACCTAAAAATGTGTAGTGGGTACCAGAGATCTCTCTGACGTTTCCTTTGGCAAGTCCCATTTAGAGCACTTGCCTATCTCTATCAGACACATTTTCTGTTTGTTTGTTTTTTTTTTAAGTTTATAAAGTTTTGATTCTCAGGGTAATGAAATCAGTTGAGAACCTACCTCTCCCAGAAAGGTAAAAGGGCTATCTTTTCCCTTTTTTTTTGTACTGAGGATTGAACTCATGGGTAACTCAACCACTGAGCCTCAGCCCCAGTCATATTTTGTATTTTATTTACAGACAGGGTCTCACTGAGTTGCTTCACTTTTTCTGAGGCTGGCTTTGAACTCATGATCTTCCTGTCTCAGTCTTCCCAGCCACTGGGATTACAGGTATGTGCTATGGTGCTCACCTGTCTTTTCCTTTTAATGTTTTCTCTTTATTTTAGCATCTCAGGATTTTGTTGTAATAAAGAATAGATATCAGGAGCTAGGGCATAGCTAAGTTTTAGAGTGTATAACCGTGGATTAAACCCAGGAGTGCTTAAACACTGAGCTATATCCCCAGTCCTTTTTATTTATTTATTTTTGTTGAAATAGGGTCTCACTAAGTTGCTTAGGGCCTTGTTAAGTTGCTGAGGCTGGCTTTGAATTTGTAGCTTTCCTGCCTCAGCTGCCTGAGTTGCTGGGATTACAGGTGTGTGCCACTACACCTGGCTAGTAAAATATATTTTTAAAATTGTGCCTTTGGAATATATCCAAATTATTAAAACAATAATGGCAGCATCTAATATATTAGTCAAAGAAGTGCACGGCAAGCTGAGCATGATGGTGCACACCTATAATCCCAGTGATTTTGGAGGCGGAGGCAGGAGGATCTCAAGAACAAGGCCAGACTCTGCACTCAAAATAAAAATAAAAAGGTCTGGAAATGTAGCTCAGAGTAGAATGCTTGCTTAGCAGTATAATGCCCTGGTTATATCCCCAATAAAACACACACACACACACACACACACACACACACACACACACAGTGTATCAACATTATTTTGTATCATAATAATACGCATTAACAAATTACAGAGAAGAGGAATCTAAAGATCTAAAGCCCTACCACAGACAGGTCTGGATTAAAATTTTTCTAATAAATATTTTTTTCTAGAAATAATTAATAATTCATAGTTGCACAAATCAGAATTGTGCCAGATGTATAAAAGAAATGTTAAAGCACATGGTTAAGGGAAATTTCTAAAGTTACTTTGCCTATACAGCCTCAGAATCTCTGCTCAAAACACTGACTAGGCAAAGCAGCATCTCTGCAGTGTGTGTAATGCCATGTGACTGGATTGAAACATTGCAGCCACCACTCCAAACACCTGGATTAAAATGGTGCACTTAACACAATTTAGTAATCTTTTTAAAAAAGTGTATATGAACAAAGACCTTTTTTTTAGTCAAGAAATTCAGAGACAAGGCTGGAATTGTACAATGGCCCTGAATTAGGAAGCACAGTTTATTTAAGGCTTACTTATTTTCCTGGCTATTATTCTGTTTTAGATCTAAGAGGAACGAAACAGCAGACTAATTATATAGCTCTGAAAATATTTAATCAGGTCTGCTGTTAACTATTTGCTTTTAAGGTAAATGGTAACTCAATTAATGACAGCAGTGTGGTCTGACAGAGAGGCCCTGGCTTTGATGTTGAGACAGGGCTGGGATGCAGGCACTGCTCTGTGGACAGTGGATGAGCTATTGGTCACTGGCTCATCCTGTGGTGTTGGCAAAAGACAAGGCTGGGAAACATTCCTTGCCAACATGGCCATGTTCCCTATATAGTTGCTTCTTTTTTCCTTTGGATGAGGGATATGGCTTAAGTTCTCTCCTTCCAGAGAAGTACTTGAATGGGCTCAAAAAGTGATTCTCCCTTGTTTATGTACCCAGGGTTGTGCAATCTCTCATCTTGATATAGTCTTCCTTTAGCAGTGTTACCATAAACAGCGAAGTTACAGTTAAAGTTTACAAGGCCTGGGAGTTAGCTTGTCTCCTAGAGGTTACAAGTTTTTGATTTAGAATGTGAATTTTTACAAATGTATCATAGTTTCTCAGGGAAATGCCTTGCTGAAGCTCCAAATACTGACAGATCACAAAAACTCCGTTAAGGGCTGTTGAAAAATTAAACACTAATGAATTTTAAGAACTTAGCACATCATAGGTACTTAATGTCAACTTTAGGCTTATAAGAAACCATTTGTAATATGTATTATGTGCTCTTATTTGGCTACAAACTGGATTCTTTTTTTAAAATATTTTTTTTAGTTGTAGACAAACACAATATCTTTATTTTATTTATTTATTCATTTATTTATTCTTATGTGGTGCTAAGGATTGAACCCAGTGCCTTACTCATGAGAGGCAAGCACTCAACCACTGAGCTACAAACCCAGCCCCAAACTGGATTCTTATAAGCATTTTGGCCATAATAAAAGAAAATAAGTAAAAGGGATTTAAAAAAAAAAACTAAGCTAAACATTAAACACAGGGAAAAACATGCCAAATTAAGTAAGCGAAATAAAAAATTTAACAGTTGAGGTGCCATTAAACAAATACTTTAATTAGCTTGGTAATATAATAGCAAAAATTAGCAAAGGAATTGTCATGCTAATTTTCATTAATGCTAAGAGGTCCTGTTCTAATAAATCAGTAATTTAGGTCAAGGTTTATCTTTTCCCCATAGTATACTAAAACCAAAAATATCAGCCAGGATTTACAAATGGTCTTAGAAAACATAAAACATTAAATTATCAACATTTGAACCATTTAATATTGATTACATATTTATGGTGAGCAAAAGATTTTATAGAAAGCAGCAGAAGACACTGACCTTGGGGAGATCTAAGTAACTATGACACCAAGTTAAAAAGGAATTAATAATGAAAAACATAAGTGAAGATAAAATAGATTAAGTCTAGCAGATAACATTGGAAGCCTAAAGAGGACAGGGCCTGATGGGGAGTGAGGGGCTAAGAAAAAAGTGCCCCATCAGTAGACCCTTTGCCCTCTTGCCTGAATGGCTGCACTGGTAGAGACAGCTCTGAGAGACTTAAGCTGGGAAGCTGCTGCCTTCAGGACTGGACACTGTACGAGTCCGAGGTGAAATGTAGTACATCTCATACATAGCCTAAGTTCTATAGTTCCAAGAAAGGGGAAGAAAATCCCAACAGCCCTTGTCTCAGAAAGCAAACTAGAGATTTTTAAAAAGTGTAAAATTTCTCATGGCACGAGTAATAGCAAAATGTATTTCCTGCTTAGGGCCCTATTAGTAGTCTTAAAAAAAAAAAAAAAACGTAAAGTCTCCACAAGCTGAATATACTGTCTTAAAAAGAAAAACTCACAACTGTATCATTTGGAATGTTTAGATTTTAATACATATGGGAAAATGCAACCAATTGCAGCAGTGAAAGACAAAATCAACCAATCAATAAAATTGTAAAGGAGTAGCCAGTATGAGATTTCATAATACCATGCTATTAAACACGTTTTAAAATATTTCAAGGACCTTGGAAATGTTAACAAAAAACTTAAGTATTCCTATTTGATCTAGAACTTCCAGTTCTACAAATTAAAACTGGTAAAATGTTCAAGTTGTACATACTGCTATTTACCAAAACTATACGTGATAAGAAAATTTAGAAACAATCCAAATGTCTGTAAGGCAATAGTCAAAGAAATTATGGCATGTTCAATCAACTGAAGGCATTAAATAAAATGGTAGAGATTTCTATTTACTGGTGTGGAAAGATACTATAAGAGAAAAAAAGGCAGGTCACATGGCACAGAAATGATAAG